AATCCATTAACTTCATTTTGACAACATTCTGCATATTTACATTCCTCTGCATGATGCTCCATGCTGGAGGTACGTTAATAAACCCTTTGAAATCCATCAGTTGATAGTTTGCCTGGTGGTTGATAGGTCTCAATCCCAGCCGCCACTGAGGATCAGGAACCAATCAGAGTAATTATCAATCATATGATCACAATGTCAGCTATGCAGGCTGGAGGTTTCATTGAAAAAGCCTTTAGCCTGCAGGTTCCACTGCAGCCTGAAATGACAGCGTTTGTTTAATGCTGTAGTTGTTAGATGCAGTTGCAGTATTAAAAAATTGCAATGCTTTTGGTTGAATGTTAGAATTGTTTTACAGGGTATGAGCATTATTGATCTTTTGCTTTGAATTAAAGAACAACTTTTGGCTTTCCCCGAATCTCCCTGCTGTCTCTTATCTGTCTGCCTTTCCTGCAGATGCTGATCACCTCTAGCCAGATCCAGTGGACCACAGATGTCACCAAATCTCTAGTGACTGCTAAGGAACGTGCAGACAAAAAGTTTCTGAAGATAATGAAAAAGAAGCAGGTTTGCTTATAACAGGCTGGGTGTGATTTAGATTACGAGATGAATATTGTCTCTGTTATTACCTTCATACAACACCATTGCAATTTTAGGTCTCCATGTTGCACAAATATTCTGACGCCATTCGAGGGAACCTGACAAAAATTCTGCGTCTCAAACTGGTGGCACTTGTGACGGTTGAGGTCCATGCCAGAGATGTCATTGATAAGATGCTGAAGAGCGGATGCACTGATGTGGCTTCCTTTGAGTGGCTGAGTCAACTGCGCCTATACTGGGATAAGGTGATGTCACTTGTCTGATCTCCTGACCTTACCTGCTAAAGATAGAGGAGGGCTATGGGGGCACAGACAGAAGGGAGCTATGAGTCCGTTCTCCTCCTGCAGGGTGATACATAGAAGGGAGCTATGAGTCTGTCCTCCTCCTGCAGGGGGATACAGACAGAAGGGAGCTATGAGTCCGTTCTCCTCCTGCAGGGTGATACATAGAAGGGAGCTATGAGTCTGTCCTCCTCCTGCAGGGGGATACAGACAGAAGGGAGCTATGAGTCCGTTCTCCTCCTGCAGGGTGATACATAGAAGGGAGCTATGAGTCTGTCCTCCTCCTGCAGGGGGATACAGACAGAAGGGAGCTATGAGTCCGTTCTCCTCCTGCAGGGTGATACATAGAAGGGAGCTATGAGTCTGTCCTCCTCCTGCAGGGGGATACAGACAGAAGGGAGCTATGAGTCCGTTCTCCTCCTGCAGGGTGATACATAGAAGGGAGCTATGAGTCTGTCCTCCTCCTGCAGGGGGATACAGACAGAAGGGAGCTATGAGTCCGTTCTCCTCCTGCAGGGTGATACATAGAAGGGAGCTATGAGTCTGTCCTCCTCCTGCAGGGGGATACAGACAGAAGGGAGCTATGAGTCCGTTCTCCTCCTGCAGGGTGATACATAGAAGGGAGCTATGAGTCTGTCCTCCTCCTGCAGGGGGATACAGACAGAAGGGAGCTATGAGTCCGTTCTCCTCCTGCAGGGTGATACATAGAAGGGAGCTATGAGTCTGTCCTCCTCCTGCAGGGGGATACAGACAGAAGGGAGCTATGAGTCCGTTCTCCTCCTGCAGGGTGATACATAGAAGGGAGCTATGAGTCTGTCCTCCTCCTGCAGGGGGATACAGACAGAAGGGAGCTATGAGTCCGTTCTCCTCCTGCAGGGTGATACATAGAAGGGAGCTATGAGTCTGTCCTCCTCCTGCAGGGGGATACAGACAGAAGGGAGCTATGAGTCCGTTCTCCTCCTGCAGGGTGATACATAGAAGGGAGCTATGAGTCTGTCCTCCTCCTGCAGGGGGATACAGACAGAAGGGAGCTATGAGTCCGTTCTCCTCCTGCAGGGTGATACATAGAAGGGAGCTATGAGTCTGTCCTCCTCCTGCAGGGGGATACAGACAGAAGGGAGCTATGAGTCCGTTCTCCTCCTGCAGGGTGATACATAGAAGGGAGCTATGAGTCTGTCCTCCTCCTGCAGGGGGATACAGACAGAAGGGAGCTATGAGTCCGTTCTCCTCCTGCAGGGTGATACATAGAAGGGAGCTATGAGTCTGTCCTCCTCCTGCAGGGGGATACAGACAGAAGGGAGCTATGAGTCCGTTCTCCTCCTGCAGGGTGATACATAGAAGGGAGCTATGAGTCTGTCCTCCTCCTGCAGGGGGATACAGACAGAAGGGAGCTATGAGTCCGTTCTCCTCCTGCAGGGTGATACATAGAAGGGAGCTATGAGTCTGTCCTCCTCCTGCAGGGGGATACAGACAGAAGGGAGCTATGAGTCCGTTCTCCTCCTGCAGGGTGATACATAGAAGGGAGCTATGAGTCTGTCCTCCTCCTGCAGGGGGATACAGACAGAAGGGAGCTATGAGTCCGTTCTCCTCCTGCAGGGTGATACATAGAAGGGAGCTATGAGTCTGTCCTCCTCCTGCAGGGGGATACAGACAGAAGGGAGCTATGAGTCCGTTCTCCTCCTGCAGGGTGATACATAGAAGGGAGCTATGAGTCTGTCCTCCTCCTGCAGGGGGATACAGACAGAAGGGAGCTATGAGTCCGTTCTCCTCCTGCAGGGTGATACATAGAAGGGAGCTATGAGTCTGTCCTCCTCCTGCAGGGGGATACAGACAGAAGGGAGCTATGAGTCCGTTCTCCTCCTGCAGGGTGATACATAGAAGGGAGCTATGAGTCTGTCCTCCTCCTGCAGGGGGATACAGACAGAAGGGAGCTATGAGTCCGTTCTCCTCCTGCAGGGTGATACATAGAAGGGAGCTATGAGTCTGTCCTCCTCCTGCAGGGGGATACAGACAGAAGGGAGCTATGAGTCCGTTCTCCTCCTGCAGGGTGATACATAGAAGGGAGCTATGAGTCTGTCCTCCTCCTGCAGGGGGATACAGACAGAAGGGAGCTATGAGTCCGTTCTCCTCCTGCAGGGTGATACATAGAAGGGAGCTATGAGTCTGTCCTCCTCCTGCAGGGGGATACAGACAGAAGGGAGCTATGAGTCCGTTCTCCTCCTGCAGGGTGATACATAGAAGGGAGCTATGAGTCTGTCCTCCTCCTGCAGGGGGATACAGACAGAAGGGAGCTATGAGTCCGTTCTCCTCCTGCAGGGTGATACATAGAAGGGAGCTATGAGTCTGTCCTCCTCCTGCAGGGGGATACAGACAGAAGGGAGCTATGAGTCCGTTCTCCTCCTGCAGGGTGATACATAGAAGGGAGCTATGAGTCTGTCCTCCTCCTGCAGGGGGATACAGACAGAAGGGAGCTATGAGTCCGTTCTCCTCCTGCAGGGTGATACATAGAAGGGAGCTATGAGTCTGTCCTCCTCCTGCAGGGGGATACAGACAGAAGGGAGCTATGAGTCCGTTCTCCTCCTGCAGGGTGATACATAGAAGGGAGCTATGAGTCTGTCCTCCTCCTGCAGGGGGATACAGACAGAAGGGAGCTATGAGTCCGTTCTCCTCCTGCAGGGTGATACATAGAAGGGAGCTATGAGTCTGTCCTCCTCCTGCAGGGTGACACATAGAAGGGGGCTATGAGTCTGTCCTTTTGGTTGTCACAGACAGGAGAAATATAAACATAATTTAAATCATTATTTATTTATTTTTATTCTGCAGGACGTTGATGATTGTATTATTAGACAGACAAACACTCATTTCCAATATGGATATGAATATCTGGGGAATTCGGGACGTCTGGTGATCACACCTCTCACTGACAGGTAACACCCCTCCAATTATTATATGGGTAAATATGGTATAATGTATATAAGGTGGGTTGTTGGCTATATAATATAGGTTGCAATAGGAAATAATAATTTCCTTGTGCTGCTGATCTACTGCAGATGTTACGTGACTCTCACCACCGCCCTGCACCTCCACCGCGGAGGCTCGCCAAAGGGCCCTGCCGGCACCGGGAAGACTGAGACAGTAAAAGACCTGGGAAAGGCGCTGGGGATGTATGTGATTGTGGTAAACTGCTCGGAAGGCCTGGATTATAAATCGATGGGAAGAATGTACTCCGGTTTGGCTCAGGTGAGGAAGACCAGAAACTTTTCCTATGTTCTAATGTCATTACCCAAATCAGTTTTTATAGCCCAACTCCAGTGCCCAGCTGCTGCTTTCACAGCTGGGAGAGTTAGTGAATGACTGATGTCAAGTTCCAAGGACTTCTAGAGAAATGCAGCAACACGAGAGGTCTATGAGCAGAGGGAAGCTTCTAAATGGTCCATGTCTGAAGACTAAAGAAGAGAATAAATAGGGTGACATTTTGGAGAGCATTGTAGGTGGGGAGATGGATTTTGTGTCTTGTGCACAATGATGCACCTTTGCATTGAATATTATTGGCATGGGCACCGGCAGGTGGGT